TTGTGCAATCTGCTACAACCCTCCATCAGGATAAAAAAAAAAATATTATTTTGCCCTGTAAAAGTGATACCCATTTGTGCAAGGTCTGATTTCTTCACTTACTGTTCTGTAACAGCAGCCTAAAACCCACACATGTTCCTCACCTCCATTTCATCAGTACCCGGAAAAAGCAAGAACCATCAGTTTCTACCAGGGAGAGAGCAAAGGAAAGTCCCTCCTCTGAGTGCAAATCAAGGAAACAAAACAATATGATACAGCACAGTTCAGGAGAACAGTATATTTATATTCTCTTGAAAAATTTGCAAGTGATCAGGTAGTGTCACTCCCATCAGAAAGAATCATAAACTTAATATAGTCTTCAAAACTTATTTTTTGAATAGTTATCTCATCACGCCTTCCACGCCCTTTAGACAACCCAACTTAATTGGCAAAACCCAACAATTCCTGCAACAACCCATCAACTCACCTCATGTTGCTGACATCAACTTACAGACCTGTCTTAGGAGCCGTGCAGCCGCCAATTCTTCATAAAGTCCACGCAACAAACAAAACTGGAAGGGTTCAATCATTTCTTACCACTGCTTTCAGAAAACACCCTTTTCCAGCTTTCTATTAAAAACACGTTTTCTAAACTTACCCCTAAATCACATTCATTCTTTCAAGGATCAGGGATTCTGTCAGGTCTGGTAAACCAAGGTATGAATCTCCTTTCCACAATTAAGAAAAGATCAGAAAAAAATATTTTTGTCACTGCTACCTGCTCAAATCCCAATGTCCTGCAAACAGGACTGAGAGAATAAAATCCAACTTAGAGCACACCACTATTAATGGAACCAGCCTGGCTTTCAGAAATTCACAGAAAACTGTTGATATTTTGTTACCACCTTCCTCCCTATAAAGCAAGGAGACAGGAACACTTAGAACCTACACTCCTTAGTCTCTTTTTTGTTTGTTTTTTGTTTATAAAAATCAACAATCTTCTGGTTGACAAAAGGAACACTTTTTGATACATGTCCCTTCCTGAAACTAAACTTACAAAGCATCTCTCACACAAATGACAAGTTCAGCTCTGGCTGAAGTAGCAATATCAGTGAGATTTCCCCCCAAATTTCCTGATCTTTACAGAATACTTCCTCACTCTCAAAGCATCTTGTAACAGAGAAAGCTGCAGCATAAGCCACAGAGGGTGGACAGAAGGTGAAAGAAGGAAAGCAAAACTTTCAGGTTAAACAAGATAGCTCTTCTGTGATAGAAAAAGAGCTGTCAAAAGCCAGCATTTTATTGACTGGCTCTGAGTAGGAGCTGGTATCTGGTCAAGAAAATATTAAGGATTTCATGAAGTGAGTTAGGTAGCTCAAATGTTGAAGGAAATCTTAAAGAGAATAGAAAGACAAAAACCAGGAAGACCTACAAGCCTGTTTTGTGAAATTCTGTTAGTACCGGGTATTAAAAACCTCTAAAATTGTACAGTGTTTTTCCATGTTTGCTAGCATTCTGGAGTTTCTCTGAAGAGTCACTTAATACTCATACAATTATGTTAAGTACAATATAAACAAGAAGAAAATTGGTTTAGACATCTTTATTATTTAGTAACACAAAGTCAGGAGCTATTGCTCTAAAGATGTATCAAGAACCCAGGATTCCAGCTGTAAAACTCAGAGTATGACAGTAACATGCTAACACAATGGTGATAAACAAGAAATACCAAAATACTAACTGTAGAATAGCAAGAGGCTTTTTGGTTTGGTTTTTGCTTTTGTTTTGGCGGGTTTGTTGGGTTTTTTCCCCTAATTGTAATGAGAAAGAGTAAAGTCACTTTAGCAACTGAGACAGTAAAATAAGAAACAGTTCTCAGTACCCCTGCTTTGCTTCACTGTAGGTATTCAGGATTCGTAAATATTTGATGGTCCTCAATTTACCTTCCACTACAGAACAAAATGACCAAAAACTGTGGCTGAGGCAAGTATACCTATTAAGCAGAAAACGTATTAGACCTTATATGGACTAGAAGTTAGAAAAACAGGTATTTTCTACTAAAAGCACCGCTGGCACACATCTCTAGCCACAGATGTTAGTATTCATTTCTGAGACTCCCAGATGTTCAGCTTTTAACTTCTAGATTACTGCTGTTCAACATATAATTCATGTCTATACCTGTAACAACTACTCAATTTTAATTTCATCACATACATATTTCCACATATTATTATAAGAAAATAAAATTGAATTTGATACATTAAAGTTAAACTGATTTCTTTTTAAACTTCAAAGTTCACAAGTGTTACTGTGGTTGCATAGTTTAACACATGCATCAGACCATCAGTTTCTAAAAATACCACGTTATAAATTCAGCACTTTACTTGATAACCACAGAAGCAGCAAGACAAAGAAGTTTGATATTCACAAAAAAAAAAAAAAGATACTAAAACGCCATCCAACAGAAAACTAAATTTCAGAAAGTTCAGTGAAAATGGCTCACTACACAAGTATGTACTTAAACAGCACCATCTGAACAATTATTTTTAGAATGTACTAGGACTGCAATGCATTCCAGCATAGTAAGAAGTCACAACTGCCATGAAGCAGTAGCCTCAGGGCTATATTAAGACTATTCAACAATTTAAATAAGCTGGTGAATATAACAAAAGATCTAGGCATTAGTTAGAAAACAACGTTTTGTGGTAACTGATTTAAGAAATTAATTGGATTCAAGTACAAGCATCTGACTAGTTTACTCCAATTGCCAGAAGCAGAAAACAGAAAAATAAAAGTGCTCTTTACCTACTGCCAGAGGGTCTAGTTCACCCTCCTGCCACCCATTCTCACACTCAGCTCAAGAACAAAACTTTCCCCTTTCCTAATCTGAACATTAAAAGTCAGGCCTATTCTTCCAAACTAATCTCCTATAGTGAGAAAGTACAAAAGTACATGGGCATGCGCATGTGTTGTTCACTACTGCCAAACATAAGGTTTTTATTTTAAATCTCCCAAGATATTTAATTAAGTTTGGCTACAGAATACCTTAGGGAGATAACAACTGAAAGTTTTCTGCTTTCTAACAAGTAACTTCTCACTCTTACAGCAAAATTTAAGTTTTTTCCACTTTCATAGCTCTCAACACTTCCGAAATACCTTTTTGCAGCATCAAACCACAGGAAACCTCAAAAGATGCACTACTTCCCATTTTGCCCATTGTCACATTTTGGCTCAAATTTATTCTTAAGTAGACCTGGAGAGGTAGAAGCCTAATTAAACAGCATTTTCAAAAGAAGCTTTATTAATATTATTTCTAATCATTTTAAGGTAAGTAGAAAAGGCTTTACAAATGTAACAGTCTGAACCACAGCAGAACTCTGTTTCACAGATTCACGTGGCATCTCCTATGAAAGGAACAGCAAGATCTGATCACATTATTAGACCTGTAAACTCTTAATCTTGGATTTATTGACTTATCTTCAGATAGGAAGATGCCAGGTTTAGGTTTTATAAAAGTCATCTATATGACACTGTAACAAAAGGACTGTGGGAGGTCAAACGTTTCCTAAAGAACGATGCATTAGAAGTAACTTTCTGCCTAGGCCTCCATTTCTAGGGTGGCTCTGTGTGATGGAAAAAGGAGTCATTTCTTTCCCAATCCCACTTTTGTCAGGAGATCCTGCTTAAGGAAGGCCAAGATCCAAACCCAGTCATCTTCCAGCAACATAAATGGCTGTCAAGATCTTCTGCTGAAGGCTTGTGATGCAGTATAAAGGTTAGAAGGTGTCCTGAAGCAATTTGGAGGGAATGAAGAGGGAGAGAAGAGTCACAAGATGTATCAAAGTAATAATGCACGTAACATAGTTCCAAATGACTTCAACTCAGCACCAAAGAGGAACTGGTAAAATCTCCTTAGAATTTCATTGCCAGTTTTCAAGTGATTCCTTTTGTTAAAAATCAAAAGGCAATTTAGAATAAACTTCCCGTGTCAGCAACGACATAGCTGGAAAAAAAAAGGTCTGACTGTGGGCTACTGATGTTTGCAAGGAAGAGGTTGTCACTCTGCACAGCATGAAGTGAGAAAGGCAGAATTTACCTGAGCTGATTCCCCTTCTTTGGGCCAGAGGGATTGCTGATATGTGGGTTAGCAGCACATCCCCTTACTCTGAGTATTCCAGTCTATTTGCTTCCCATGGACAAAGGGACATGATTTTACAAACCCAGCAGCCACAGGCTCCTCTAATGAAAGAATTTCTATACATTTAGAACTGGGAAACTTTTTCAGTGCTAGTAATTAAGTCAGATTTCAAACTGATTGGGCAGCTTCCACCTCACAGCACATTCAAACCTAGCACTAGTGTAAAGAGACAGGGAGGAGATGAAAATTGCGTGGCTATGGGGCCATACACAATCACTGGCTTTATCTTGGCCCCAGCGACCAGTTTCTACTTGATGTAGTTTCCTGTCTAGAGAAGGGTCACACCAAGAATGTCATTAGTGCTTCACAGAACTGAAGTACAAATATGACCCATGGACAGGAAGCTTACACAGAGGCATAAAGAACATTCTTTCCAAGTGCTCAGAGCATTTTTTCTCCTCTCTCTCTCCCCCACGGTTTTTCTTTAAACTGCTCACACTCTTTCCCTCTCTCAGCCTAGAGAAGTGGAAGGCAACATCAACAAAAAAATGCATAGAGAAACACCATAAAGTCCATCCTTCACACCTGAGCGGATGGCAGTTCAAAGGGGCCCTACCTACCTGCAACCCTGTTGTTTGCTTCAAGAACTCTGTTTGCCCAAGGAAAAAGAGACGAGCAAATCCTGGAAGCAGATCCTTCCCCAAAGGAAGTTTCTTTCTGAGTCTGCAACCTGGAGCTTTTGCTTGAGACTCAGTCCTCTGAGTGGATTCTTTCTTCAAACTCTCACACTGGTTCTTTACTTTTGTGGGCAGCTGGAAAAAGAATGAAGCCGTAGGCTGAGGCAGGGACTCCATACTTCCAGGATAGGGAGGCAGAAAGACTGGAGGGGAAGGAAAAGTGCTAGTTGGTAACTTCTTGGATAATGACCTGCATTTCCTCATTTTCTGCCACAAAGAGACATACACAGTCACTGCAATAGGGGAGGATGACAAGAGATGGGTACTAGACATGCAGTGTTTTCATGCTCTGATGCCAAAAAAACCCCAAACCCATAGTGTTGAGCTGTGAACTTTCAAGACTTTTAAGACATCTACCAGTAGATGAGATCAATCATAAGATGTTTTGTCCAGAAAGTTCTCTCAGTTTGTTGCAAGTAGATGTAGGTGGGGGTGAAAAAAATTTAAGTGCTCAGTTCTTGGAAAAAAATCCAAATCTCTCCTCTGTTCACTTGCTCTCAAGTGAATTAAATTGGCATCTATTGCAATGCAGTGAACGTCTCCCCATAATCTCTTCAAGAAAAAATCATCATACTTACCTGAAATGTTTCCCTCACCAATGACTTCCTAATACCACTCCCAACTCCTCTGTAAAGGCCTTACTCTCATCTCAAGTCTTCTACTTTATTTGTAAAATCAGATTGATCAAACACTGGCAGCAGTTTAATGCTGTTGTGACAAACTCAAATTTAACCAGGCACATAATGACTGTTGTGGAAGCTAAGAACCTACCCAAGTTCCCGCATCAGGTTTCTGGATTTCTAAAATATTCCTCTTTTTCCCTGAAAACCTAGATGTCCCAGGACTTTAATGTCATTACTTGAACAACAAAAATATAATGCATAACAGAGCTGAAATTTTCTTCACAAATACTGAAAGCTGCTAAGACTCCTGTGAAACATTATCAGTATCATGGAGCCAATATGCAACAAAATAGAACCAGAAGTCACTGGACTTAAAACAGTTACATGCACAGCTGCTCACGTGTGCATTTACGGGTTGTTATCCATCACAGTACCCTCTGCACAACAGCACAGTGTATGGCATTTGCATGTAGGGCAGCCACTGAGCTGTGTGCCCTCAGATGAGGCTTCATCATTTTACCTAGAGTGCTCTTCCTTGCTCCTAAGACACCAGGTAGAGTATGATCCAACAGTTAACCAAGAAGGTACATTACTCATCATGTTTGATGCAATTTCACTTAATTCATTTTAGGGCAATTGGTGGTGTTTCTTCATCCTCTCTTTTAGAGCACACACCTAAACAAAATAGCTTCATTTGGTTAGGTATCTCACATGTTCTTCAATTACAAGCTTTCCCCTGTTCAGAGAAGCTTTCTTTCATCGTGCTAAAATAATACAAGAAGATGGGGAAAGAAATGCTAGGTTTTGTCATTAAAACCACAGCAATTTTTGCAGTTTGAGTAGCATACAGTATTTATTTTTTCTTTTAAAGTGACACATAAAGCCATCAAGGACAGACCTTGATACGCTACAGTAATTAAAACAGAATCATCAGCAAACTGCTTCTAGAGAAACTGCTTGTGCATGCAGAAGGATACTCTGCTTCTTGATTCCTCTGAGGACAATGAATATGGTGACGGTATCTCAATCTAAGGTACGAGTTTTTAGTCCAAATAGAGTGTTTCACATAAATAATTAGTTGTTTTTTAGTGGAATTTCATGACTTCTCAACAACATGAGACCAAGATGTGTTCCTATAACTTTCAATTTGACAAGTCATTGCCTTTTTGATTATTTCAGACCAGCTTTCAAAGATTAGAGAGTCAGGTTGTCTTTTCATCCCATATGCATGTTTTTGTGAAAGGAACTCTTCCTGTTTGGGAAGAATAACTGATGAACACACACAAAAATGTACTTGGCCAAGAGATGTCTCCAGGTTGATGTTTGTACTCCCTTCTTCAAGCAAAGGAGAGGACACAAGATAAAAACTAAAGAGAAAATACAATAAACAGAACATCTTGAATCCAAGTTTCTACTGCTCTGTACTCGCTGGCTAAGAAAAATGTCATGGAAGGACAATAGCAGTAAAAGCACATTTCTTCTAAAAGACTCTCTTTTGTGAATAGAATATTCTTTTTAACCAGATAACTTGAAAAGTCTCTGAGATTCAAGGTATTGCAAGTTGCTAATACTAATTACTTATAATTCATAATTACAATGCCATACACAGCACTAACAGCTCAATTTCTGGTGATGCATTGAAGCCTACTAACACTTCTGAAGTCAATACTCCTTTCCAGTTCAAAGCAACAGAAGGTATCAGAGCAAATCAATTCAGCTGAAGCAGCATGGTTTCCTTCAAACAGGAATCTGCCTAGGGCCTCTGTGAGGAAACCTCCTTCACAGTGGAAGATGCTATTCACTGGAAAAAGACCCCACGTGGCCTTCAATATACTAAACCATATGAGATCAGAAGTGTAGAAGAGATGAGTACTTGGTCTTGAGTCATGTCTCCTCATAAGCAGAAGAGACAAAGATCCAATGCGAAATTTAAGGAAAAAAAAAAAGGCATTATGAGGACTTCATCCATTGGTGTTTTCCTTACAGAAACAGATTAACAGTTTATGGAAGATCAATCTGAAACATGCTGTTAGGAATGACGTGCTTTTAAATTCCTCTTCTTACATCAAGGTCATGGTATCTCTCCAAGAAAAGGAGAACACTTTAATTTTTATGCTTTTATATGTACCTCTTCCCTTGAACAGACTTATCTTGAAGTGTAAAGAATAAATGAGACTGCTAACCTTTGTGATCTAGCTATCAAAACCAGCAGCCTGATAGATTCTTACATATATGTATGTATTTCAGGCTGAACAAAATCTTCCTGTGTTTTGAGATAAGAAATGTTAATAAATACTCCTTTGCTCTTCTGAAGATTTAAAAGAACAAAAAAAAGATGTCTAGAAAAGAGCATAGAAAGTACCTGAATCCCTCCTACAGAAATTTTGGGGAAAGTTTTTTTTGTTGCCTCACATCAATCACCGGAAGCCGTTCATGCTACCGAGTTGAGATGTTAAACAAGCTTAAGCAGTTGAATATCCAACAGCTCTTCTCAGTCACAGTACTGTCGAGTTTGCTGATTTACGTCAAGAGCAGGCTCTGATGGGATCCTTTTAGCTGGAGCAGGAAGAATTTATGGCTGTGATGACACAAGAACAACATCATGATGACACAAGAACAACATGTCGATGATCTTCAGATACAGATGAAGCCAGGAAAGACACTGGTAGTTTTTTTTTTTAGCATGTGGAAGACAGTAAGGAATCCTATAATGAATATAATCATATCCTTTGAGCAAAGAAAGGAATCTCTGCAATGTCTTTCCACAGTGACCTGACTGTTGATAAATACTCCTGGGAGGAAAACTCCCTTCAGTGATTTCTTCCACCTTCCTTCTCTACAGGACATGTTTCACAGCCAATTCATGACTGAAGAGTAATCTCCATTTTTCTGCATCAGTCAGTAGAAGCTCAACAACCAAGAAAGGAAAAGTTTAAACAATTGTGAGTAAATTCTACAGAATACCATCTGCAAAACAAGCAAAAAAATGAATCTCCATATTTGGTAAATAGTATAAAATATAAGCAACAATACTTATTTATTTCTAACACTGCAGCTCCAACAACTGCAGTATCCAAGTAAAATAACATAGAAACAAAACACAAATTGTCATACCTGATTCAAGTTATTTGCCATCAGATCAAATACTTCTCAACCTTCAAACCGAAACTTTAAAGCAAGATGCAATTATTTTAGACTTAAGGTGCAACTAGCCACATGGACTTTTTGCAATTCCTAAAATGAAACTTAAGTCTAGGTTAAGTAGTTGTTGTCCTGCTACCATTAATCATACCTCTAGAAATAGGTGCAGGCTCTGCAAACCCACCGCAGGATCTATGCGCCACCATCCAGTTGAACTGTTATTCAAAATAAATATTAGAAGAACAGCAAATTTTAGTAAAACATCTTTCACCTGGAAACTAGCACCAACATGGCATGTGTAATAAAGTATCAACAGGAGTGACACGACGCTGTTTAAATTGCAAGCTACTGACCCTATGAAAAAACGCTAGTTTTTCAAAACTTCTGGGTTGTTGTATTTTTTGGGGGTTGGCTTTTTTTTTGGGGGGGTAAGGTGGGGTGGAGGGGCAGGAGGGAGGAGGAGATTTGATTAGAGAGAGGGGTAGAAGTCACTGAATATAATAATAACTATACTGGATAATGTTATCCAGTCCCAAGATGGAGAAAAGGCAGCAAAACCACTGGTCAAAGTGTTGATTTCGAAAGATCTTCATGCAACCCTTCATTCAAAGCCAATCATGCCAACAAATAGAATGGCAGAAATCTTGACTTTCTAAATTTCAGATTGTGTTTTAAAGCATCAGGCCTCTCTCCATAAATGTTTCGTGACCAAATTCATCAAAGGCCTACTAAAAGCCAGAGGGCCATAGCACTGTCTACATTATCAGACAAGGCATCAGACAATACCTACTTGATACTGGCGTAAGTACCAATTCCTCAAAGACCCTTCCTACTGCCAGTTTAGGAGAGGCAAAAAGCTATGGCTTTTCTGAACTCAGCACGATAGAGAATTCTGAAATTATATATAGCTATCACACCAACACATATTTGAGAAACACAGCCAGTATTTCTTGGCACATATACAACAGCAGGAAAACACCAGAGGTATAAAATTGAATGATTAGTTGATTATAGAAAATACTACCTTGTAAAAATAATTCCCATTAATAGATGCATGAATTTTACCCAATTAAAAAAATGGGTATTTGCTAAACGTTATAATTATTCTGTCCTTTTAAAAGCTGTTTACATTGCAAGAATATTTTTAAATATCTTCATTAACATGCTTTTTATTTCTTGTCAGCTTTTGTGCCAAGTACAGTTGAGAGCAAACCTTTTTTTGGCCTAACTAAGCCATATTTTAAATCAGATTAACAGACTTCACTGGCACTAACATACATTTCTGTCATAAAAACAGACCTTCTTTCAGCCTTAGGGAAATTCTGTGCTTCTGGGTAGAGTGCATGAGCCAATATTAAGAAAAGAACCAACAAACCACACAACTTTTTTTCAAGACATCATATGATGCCTATTTGTTCAATTTTTCTGCTTAAGAAAGCTAACTATAGCAGCAAAGGTTACAGTATTTATGTATACCTTGAACTTACTTGAAAAAAATCACATAAACCCTATAGTTTCTTATATTAACAGTGCCTTTGTACTTTACTTTGCAGTTCTTAATACATGGCTAGTTTAATTTAATTTGATTCCATTTACATGCAATTAGGTTACACAAATTTCTTACACAATTTTTTTTTTTTTTTAAAAGCACCACTTTTCTTACTGAGCTCTCAATCTTCATATAATTCCTACACTTCTCTGGTCAGTCTTTCAGATCGTCTATCTGCAGAACCTGGAAGTGGAAATACCACACATAAGGAATGTTAAGAGGAGTGATTCCAGTACTGTTCGACAGCCACACCACACTGGATGCCTTAACTTTACGGGATTTTGGGAAGGAGGTAGGGTGAGGTCTAATCTGAATTTTCAGATGAGAACAGCTCAAGGCTTTTCCCTGTAGGTTTTGACCCTTGATCATCTCCTCCATAACTTTCCTCTGGTGTCTTGTATCTCTGGAGAACTCAAATATAGCAGAAAAGCCCCTCTCATGCAGTATTTACTCCAATATATATATATTTAATAGATTAATATTAATAAAGGGCAATATGGACACACTGGTAAATAAAAGCTAAACAAATTACCTGTTTTTTTTTAAAGTCACCAGTTTCACAAAGTTTGCCTTTCAGATTTGAGCACTTACTAGGTTACTTTCCATACCAAATCTTAATTTCTACAGAGGGTCTAGAGTTTACAAATTTAGCAGGCACTCTGACCAACAGGCTTGATCCTTCACTTGTTATCAGTAGCAATAAGAACTCTACAGCCAAAACTGGAATGAATTTTCTCCTAACTGTTAACTGCTAAGACAGAGTGATGTCAAATGCTATTGTAAGCTGTGTTAGTTCTTCAGCATCAAGAAGTTTGTGATGCAACTGAGGCTTATTTTTGTCTGGCAAGAGTTGATAGTGGAGTCAAACTGATTTAGTTACGACTTGCAAATGATGTGCAAGCACACCATGACAGTTCTGCAATATATAGTCTGACTCTTAGGTTCACAATACAAGTTTAAAAAGTCTCAGTGCAGTCAGTGATGTTTAGATCAGAATTATACTTTTTATTTTTACCTAGTATGTGTTAAAAGTACATTAAAAAAGCATTCTAGATCATCTTGTACTGCTACCACCATACAAAACATGCTGTCTTTAATTAGCTAATTAAATGTTTTCTGAGGAATTGCTGACTTAACTTTCCTTATTGGGCTAGCGCTTCAAATTCACTCACATTTCAGTATTAAATTAAAATTGTGTCATTCTTTCCAATACCACTTGAAATAAGACCATCACAAGTTTTATTATAAAAATGTTTATCAGCTGAAATAAAGGCCATTTGAAATGTATCATTTTGCTCTTCTTAAGTAAAACTGTTTGCATTGAGTTGTCCCTTTATCTTCTCTCCATGCAAGTACTTTCCCACCTATGTGCTTTGACCAGCCAGAACTCCCAGATTTTGCACTAGACACAATTAACTTTGCCAGTGCCTCTTCACAGGCATATCAGTGTGCAGTGTTTGACTGTCATTCTGTACCTGTTGAAATATTAGTATTTGGTTTAGGTTGTGTTCAAGTACAAAAAAACAGTATCAAGTCACACATAGAAGAATACATACAGAAACACAAAAATGTCTATTTCTAGCCTAGGCTTACTATTTTCACAAAATTATTCAGAGCAGGGAAAAAGACAAGACATCAAACATCTGTACCAAAATAGAAACTTACCCCACTGACTGATCTGGGTTGGAGAGTGTTTAACCATACACTGAATCTCACAGGAGCCTCCTTCCTTCACTTGAGTCAAGATTTCATTGACAAAAATAACCACAATCCAGGGCAGATAAAAAAGAGCTTCCCACGCACTCAGGCAAACACACAAGACACTACCATAGAATCATTACAGTTGGAAAAGACTTAAGAATCCTCTTGAAAAAAAAAACAACCACCATTTGGATCATTACTGAACATTTCTGTATATGATTGGTATCTACAACATGCATAGTTTATTTTGAAGTAAGACAACATATAACAGAGATATTCTTAACACGACTCTTTTATCATGCAATTAGTTGCCTGATCTGATTTCTGTACCAAATAAATGTAGAAGTCAGTGTTTCCTCAGAAGAGTTGTTATATTTAATAAAACCTTTCCTAAGATTAATTCTCCTATAAAAGTCCAACATGTCTCCTTTCCTTCCATTTTCTTTTTAAGGCAAGATTCTAAAATAAGTTTGCAGCAGGGTTGAAAAGAGATCTGTATTCAAAGTTATCAGGTTTTACCTGTATATTATATGCACAGTATTGTATTTTCTACTAAATAGTTTTTTAGCCACCAAAAAAAAAAAAATTAAAAAAACCCTCACAAACATTCCATGCTGCTGTTACTTCTACATACTCTTAAATTAAGTCAAACTCCATCCTGTAGTTTACCTAAATGTACAAAAAGGAAACCATAGCGCATGTGACAAAGGTTGACATAGTTAACAAAGAGAACTGCAGAGATGCTTAGTAAAGTAAAAGTCCTTAATTGTCGGCATGTGTTCAAAATCTGTTCTCTAGAGGCTGTAGTTCAGCATTATATTCTATAGAATGCAACAGAGAATGAGCCTGTATTTTTTAAGTGTAGTTACTCTTTCAAACAGCTATCTCCCCAAGTTTAAAATGATTCTTAATTCATAGTTTAATATTGCATAGCTGCTTTTTTGCTTCTCCTTTTTCTGATGGTCGAGCATATTATTACTTCACACATATAATTTTACACATGCACATCAAGTAGTTTTCTACTCTTATTTCTTAACTGTTTTTATTGTAGACTTCAGTCCAACAGAAACACAAACTGCCATCAAGACGTGACTTACTGCAACAGTCTGCTACTCCTAGCTGGGCAATGTTTGAATATCCTTCTTCCAAGTCATCACAGAATTTCCATTTACTAGTCAAGTTCTTTCATTCTATTTTATAAAATAAAGAATGCATATATATCTAAGCAGCCTGCATGACAGAAGAATCATATATGGTACCCAAAAATATGCATTCTAATGGTACTTGGAATAGGCAACTGCACAACTTTGTTGAAGAGAAGCTACAGGAAGCACTTGGGTGAGCACACAATGTCACACTTCAGCACAGCATTAACTTCTCCCTCCTCCCTCACCCCTCGATGAATTAAATGTATATTTCAGAAATATAGCATATTCAACCTATCCTTTTCAGGCAATGTATCTTGACTTGATATTATGACTCAATCTTTTAATTTTTTTCTCTCTCTTGTACATGTAAAATACACAGACAGAAAAAGGGGTGCCAAAGAATAAAACAAAAGCACTAACAAACTACTAACTCACTAAGTACCACAATCAAGTAATAGTTTGGTTTCATACTTAATATGGTTCACTACAGTGAAGTGCAATGAAACATATATTCTGCATTAGAGAGAATTACTTGGACAATGCCTCCCAACTCCAAAGTGGGGGCAGAGAGCAGTTGGGGGGGCTGAGGAGGAGGACATGAGAAAGGGCGTAACTCCACAGCTCCAGGGGAATCACCTGAACACCTGTCGGAAGCATGTACGTTGGCAGACTGTTCTAAAAGAGCCAATAATTTAACCATGATAACCTTGGCCTTTAAGAAAATGAATCATTAACTGCACGGTACAGATTTTTGAACTCCACTATATCTGGAGTTTTCAACTGTAGCAAAACAATACTGAGTGCAGAGCAAATACAT